AGAGAAAGGGAGAGAATACGTTTGTATGAGAGTAAAGAAGAGAGAGAGAGAAAGAGAGAAATAGAGTGGGAGATGATAGTTTTTGAAGACACGATTTAGAGATGGAACTACCAACTGCATCGAATCGACTATGCAAAAAAAATGGTGTGAGGTGGGGTTGAAGGGAGAAGTCGATAGCCGATTAAGCTGCTATTTGTGCACGTTCCGAGAACGACTACGAGGGCTTTCTTTATTCCAACGGTACAAAAAGAGAGATAGATAGGTAAAGAGAGAGAGAGAGAGAGAGAGAAAGTGAATGAGAGAAAAAAAAGGGAAAGAGATAGAACAATGGATGAAGGGTAGGGCAGAATTGAGCGAACGAATGAGAGGAGGTAAAAAAAAAAGAAAGAATGAAAGAAAGGAAGGAAGAAGGAAAGAGAGAGAAAGAAAGAAGCCTCCGGAGAGGTTGGCTATCGTTCGTCGACGTTGCATACATACAGACCCAGGCCCATTCCTTTAATTTCACCCTTCTGCAAACCCTCGACCAATGTACCAATGTCGTCGTCTACCATTCACCATCACTCGAGTTTCTATTCGTTTAAAAAAAAAAAGGAAAGGAAAAAAAAGTAAAGTGTTGAGTATCTTCGGGTTGGCGGGTAAAAGAATGTAAGTATGAATGATTAGTTTCCTTTTTCTTTTTTGTTTTTATTTTTGTTCTTTTTTTTTTAGACAGAAAGAAAAAATTTATATTTGGGTTAGAAAAAAAGTTACCCAAAGTCTATAAATGATTTGAATTATTCCAAATAATTTAGTTTGATATTAATTAAGTATAAAAGGTAAATTAATTGTTAATTTTTTGCTATCTGTGTTGCAGAATTTTTTCGAGGGGAAGTGGAATTGTCTACATAGAGAGAATATGAATTAATTTATTAGTTTTATATTTGCATTAGTTTTTAAGGGTAGAAATAAATTATGCGTTATAAGTGAGCTTAATTATTGTTTGATACAAGAGTTGTTTTATGGGTGGATTATGAATATAATTGTTGGTTACTTTCAAGGGTTGATAAATGGATATTAATTAAAATACAATTTAAAGATAGGTTGTTAATTTTTTTGAGATTAATATTAAACTCTAAAATAATAATAAATAAAAAGTCGTTTACACGAATGTAATTTAACTTCTCGAAAAAGAATATATGAAAAGCCCTTCTACAAACATTTAATTAAACTTATTAAAAAAACAAAATGATGAATAAAAAGTGTCTTATAGCAAAATTTAATTTAACTTCTCGAAAAAGTGATGAACAAAATATTGAAAGCGTATATCATAATCAAAATATATTAAATGCAAAATAAATAAAAATTATTTATTTATTAATACAATTCGTATTTAAACAATAAAGACTTCAATCGAATAAAAGGATAAAAAGTAAATAAATAAAAAAAAATCACGATTACCACTCAGCCAATATTTCTATTAAACCAAGCATTAATTTTTATCGTGTCATTGTTATCGTCATTGTTGACAATATTGGGAAAGATTTTAAAATAATATCGTATAACATAGATAGGACGAAGAAGTAAATCGACGTTCCGGAAAACGAAAGAACGAGACGAACGCGTCATCGATCGGCCAGAGCTCTGAACGACGAGACCGACGGAAGCGAATCACGGACGAGCCTGATCGATTCGTTGCCATAAAACACACCATCAAAGAATGCATTCATATATTTTTTTTTTACAATCACATTTATCCAAAATTTTAAGCAATAAAATTTTCGTAAAATTCGTAAAATTGTACTATGCAAACGATCTCTCAAAATCGATAAACAAACAACATCCTTAAAACTTCAAATTTTGTTCGTCAACAAAAGCATCGAGATCGTATGCAAGATCTTTCTTAGTAAATATCTATGTATTTGTGGAATTGAGAAAAAATTATTGATAAAGATTAAGTGTTCCGGTGTTTCTAACACGTGTGTGACAAACTAACAATACACGCGTTATTCTTACGAGAGAGAACTTAGAATAAGTTCATGTGAAATGATAAAATTAATAAATAAAAGAAATGTGTAGTTGTTAAACGAGAAACAGGGAGAAAAAGAAAAAGAAGAAGAGACGAAAGAGGAGGAAGAAGAAAAATAAGAATAAGAATAATAAGAAGAAGACGAAGAAGAAATGTTGAGAGAATGAGTCTCTAGAGAAAGTCGAAAGAGTTGGTAGAAGAGTAGTAACCGTGACATTGAAAGGTGTCTCAGAGCAAGCGAGCGAGCAAGCGAGCGCCATTAATTCGCTTCGCTAAGTCTTTTCGTTCTTTCGCATCGATTATAAGAGAAAGATGAAGAGAATGAACGAAATGCTAAGATAGACGAATACACAGACACACGAAATACAAATATGAGAGGTTGACATAAATAATAGAGAACAAAAAATCAATTAAATATTAATTTTTCGTAAATACTTACGTCATGTCCATTTGAAATTATTATTTAACACGATAAAAAAAGAAAAAAAGCCACTATGAGAAAAATAGAAATCTCACTGATAGTTCAGAACCACCCCCCCCCCTCTTCTCCTCGTCACCCGAAACTTAGAACAACCTTCGGAATCAATCAAATGCGAGTTAATAAAAAATGTTTTTTTTTCTTCTCATACATTGTACACGAATTAAATTTCGTTTCTTAGGGTAAGAAAAGAGAAATAACGCGTGTGACACGACGACCGTTCATCGTAGCGACCGCCGCCTCCACCACCACACCACCACCACGATCAGCACGTCCACGTCCACCACCACCACCACCACCACCAGCAAGATAGACAAAGAGAGAGTGAGAGAGTGTGAGAGGGAAAGGAAAACGAAGCGTCCACGTCCACCACCACCACCACCACCACCAGCACCACCACACCACCATCAACACACCGCCGCCGCCACCACCACCGCCTCCGACGACGACGTCGCCACTATGCAAGAACCTTCTTCTCTCCCTCTGCCCCTCAAATCCCCTCTTCGTTATCCACCATCTCCCACCAGTCGTTACCTCCTCCTTCTCCACCTCCTTTTACTTCTTTTTCTCTTCCTCCTGTTACTCCTCCACCTCTTCCGTCTCTCGAAATTCATCTATTGTCCGTCTCCAGCGCACGAGATCGAGCGTGCGCTGTTGTAGATTCGCATGATGCTAGGGGGTTAGGGGAAAATTCGACGCCGACGCCGACGCCGATGTCGACGCCGACGCCGACGCAAACGCAACGCCGACGCAAACGCAAACGCAAACGCAAACGCCAACGCCAACGCCGACGCCAACTACCATGCTTTTATAATCAATATTGGTTGTCGGAGAATTTGTGCTTGTGACATCTTTCTCTCTCTCTTTTCTTTCTTTATTATATTTGAATATATATTTTTAAAAACAAGAATGCAGTCTCTATTTCTTTTTAACCATTCTTCAAATTTACCACATTTTTATTTCTCTCGTTAAAAATATTTTAAGATGATAATTTTCTATATATTTTTTTTCAAATATTTTCTAAAACAAAAATTTGATAAAAAATTGTATATTTGTTATATAATAAGTAAGAGGAAATTATAAATAATAAACTAGAGAGGGATTAAAAAGTAACGATGTTTCCTCACAAACAATTTTGAAATTATTCATATTGGATGAGTTTGTAATATAAACTCGAATATATTTTTAAACGGGAAAAAGAGATTTTTATAGTGAATCTGTAAATTGAAAGCAAAGGGCGAAATTTGAGAAGGAAGGGAGAAAGACGAGAAGAAGAAAAGAAGAAGGAGGAGGAAGAAGAGAAAGAGGAAGAGAGAGATTTCGATCGAGTCGATGCTCGCGCGTTTCCTTAGTTCGGTTAAGCTCGGTTTAACTCGGGACCATTCGGGTTCTCGACTCGATTCGCAATCGTCGACTCTGACTTTGTCATCTATCCACCAAACTCCACTTCTCTCCTCATTCTCTACTCCCCGCCAAAAACTGGTGATAGGGTGTGGCGTGTCTCCAGTTTGAAAAGGTTGCCACGCGGTTTGAAGTTTCGGTTAACGACCAATCGTGGCGCTAGCGTAGCAATGCTTTTCAACACTAGCGCTGTCCCTTTAAACTACGGTGACCTCTCTCGGGGTAAATGATACAACTTGTCGATAAACCTTGACACTTTTTTTATCAATCGAGTTTTTTTACAAAATGGCTGCGAAAGTCTGCCATATTTTTTTTTGAATAATATTTAATTTTACTAAGCTTTGTTTTAGTTTAATCATTCTTTTTTTTGTATTATCTAGTATCTCGATATGATATAGTATTAATTAGTGTCTATTATCCGAATTTAGAGTATTGGAAATGTCGATATCAGTAAATTATTTATTGGCTAGGCTAATAAAATAAATCATAGTATTAATATAATCCAGTATTAGCATAATTAGCCTATATTGGTATTAATTATATTATATATTATATTTTAAATTTACGCTGCTAAACCATTTGAAAAAAATCTAAATTAATACAAATTACATTATATAAAATTCGAACAAAACATATGAAATATAAAATATAAATGTTTAAAATTGTTAAAATAAAATATTAAAAAAATTAATACCACAATGTTAATAATAAAAAATGAAATAAATATACCAAATATTTGATATTTGAAATAAAAGAAAAAATTTATGAAACAAATGTATACTATTAATGAGTATGAAAATAAAAAGACTGTATGTTGAATTATTGTTGATTTCTAATGATAGTGCTGTTGGCAGGTCGTTGATATCGAGAATAGAAACGCTCGAAGGGGATGAAATCCGAACTAGGGAATGAAACCCAACAAACGCCTCGCCGATTCTAAGGGTTAACTTCTGCTATCTGACGCCTCTATTCGTTCAAATAGAGAAAATAAATGTAACTCAGCTATTCGAGATTCGAATTTTATTTTCTTTTGTTTTTAAAAGATAAGATTTTTAAATAAAATAAAGAAGAATAAGAAAGGGAAAGAAATAAAGAGAAAGAAGGAGAAAGACTTACCGGTATCATTGGACTGTCGACCTTTTCCATCTGGATTCCACTCTTCTTCTGTAAAAAGAAGGAATACGTATAAAATTTATGAAAGGGTAAAAGGTGATTCTAGATGCTATCGATTCTCTACTTGGCAACGTTTTAACAGATAAAAAGGTAAAACTGTAGTATCTCTTTATTCTTTTATTTCTTTATATATGTGTCTTAAACGTTCTATAGTATTTCATATTTTTCCTATTTCTTTTTATATATATGTCATACTTACAGTTGTTGTACAGTTTTTTATTTGAATAATTTAAAAAACGAAATATTTATAAATACAATAAAATATAAAATAATAAATATACGAAGTAAGGTATAAATTCTTCAACATTGTCCATATTTTATTTTATATTTAGAGATAATAAAATATTTATAATATAAAGTAATAAATAAAAATGGAGCATAATATTAATTCTACAACATCGTTTGCATTTTATTTTATATTTGAAAATAATAGAATACTGTATAAAAATAGCGTACATCGCAATGTTTTTAAAAAAACATTGTTTATATTTGTACTATACTACAAAATAATTTCTCGTAATATTTTTTAACGAAAATATGAAACTCTGTGTAACATTTGGAAAAAAATTGAACATTTTTGTTTGTTAAAAATTAAAAAAAAAAGTAAAATAATAATATATAAAATAAATATATAAAAATAAGAGAAAAGAGGGAGGTATACGTTTTTCGTTTGAAATGGGTCGTGAAAGATAGTAATCGTACGTGTACGTTTATGGTACAGTTGTGCCATACCTAGTATATGCAGTTTGCATATTTCACAGGTAACGGGGCATACACCTACTCTTGTTTCCGCAGAACTATGTAGGTATACAACGTTCGTAAATTTATAAGGATCCATGAGACGTTCTCGTTCTACTCTTGTGTTCCTCGCTCACGAGGGAGATATGAATTTAGATTTATAACGCCATGACAACCTATTTTCCTTTCCAAGAACTTGTTATTAGGTCTATCGTTATTTAATCTATAGTTAATTACACCATGAACCATAATATGTAACAACCAACACAGCTTTTTCAAAGTTCAACTTGAAAGGTTTACCTATTTTTTATCATTAATTTTTTTCGTTTATTTATTTAAATAAATGGATGATTGTGTGTATACATCTGAAGTTTTAAAGAATTGTTAATCTATTGAATGTACCATGATTCATGACATGCAACAACTTGAAGGTTGTTGTGAAAGGTTCATCTATTGTAATTTCATTACTTAATTTCTTTTACTCTTATTTATTTTGCTCATTTTAAAAAGCGGATGTTAGACGACGAATTAAAATTGTGGAATAGAATATTAAGAATTTTATTAATCTATCGTTATCTATACCACGACTGAGAATAAGAAACAATTATCGATTGGTTTATTAAAAGTTCAATTTAAAAGGTTCATCTATTTTCACAAATAACATTTTCTCTTTTTTTTTTTGTTTAAAAATAAAATAAATTTCATATATTTCAACTTGTTAATACTAGGAGCATAAAAAACGAGGAGGAGGATGATTAAAAAAATAAAGATAGGAGTAAGTAGACGTTTGAACACAAGTTAAGTGCAAAGGTCAAGTCAAGCGACTAAATATCTTTTGGTATATTTACGGAATTAAAAAAAAAAAGGAAGAAAGAAAAAAAATGAAATGAAGGGACCACTCTGTAGTGGTAAAGGAGATAAAAGGAAAGAAGAAAAAGGTAAGAAAGTTCGCTCGAAGCTGTAAGCTCTCATCCCTACTTTCTTTCTTTTCATCGTTCCTCCTTTTCAGTAGCGTAACCCCGTTTACGACACCGACAAGAAACGTAGATCTTATTTTTGTGTGTTTTTTTTCCTCCTCCTTCCTCTTATTCTTTTTCTTTTACTTCTTAGCACTTCCTCCAGTTTCTTTCTCGCGCCAAACTTATTTTCTTTTTCAAACGTGTACGGAAGTATCTCGTTACGAACTAAAACCATAGCCGCCTTCGTTTTTCGTAATCAAGAAATTCTAAGTGATTTCAAACACTCCTATTTACTTTTCATTATTAACTTCTAACATAAACAAACAAATACAAAATCTATGGTCGATAATTAGTTTCGCAATTTTATAAATTCAACTACGTAGCATCGGAACATTCACCTCGTTTTATTTTATTTTTTTTTAATCTCATTATAATTATTTTTATAATATTCGCATATAAAATTTATACTTCGAAAGAAAAAAGCATTTTGAAAAATGAATAAAACAAAGCTACGAATTTTTCAAATGGTATAAATACAATAAAAAGAAAAGAGATTAGAAATCATTCAAATGATTAATAATCTAAAAATATTTTTCAATTTCCGTTTTCTAGACGTAATGATTAATTAATAAAATAAAAATAAGTAGAGGGGGAGGGGGTGAGGGAGAAAAAAAGAACCGATTGTAAGAAGAAGCAGCAGCCAAAGCAGTGCTATTATATTTTCTTCTCAATTTCCCAACACTCGGTGGTTGTGTTGAAAAGGGAAATAAGAAGTCTTGGTTAAAGAAAAAAAGAAAGGCGCCGAACGTTCTTGTCGTTAAGCGACGATAAAAGCATCGTTATCAGAAGGAAAATGACTTTTTATACAGGTCTGATAGCTTCAGATAACTTCGTATAGCAGCTAGCTGTGAGATGAGAAATTTATTTGTTCATTGAATCGTGGAAGAGCTTTGAGGGGTGGTTTAGGGTGGTAAATGTAAGTGATGCGGTAGTTGGTGACGGTAAACGAGGTTTTCGGAGAAGGGCCGGGAAGGGAAGGAAAGGGAGGGGAAATGGACTCGAGGGGAATTTACAGAAGCGAACTCTCGATGAAACTTTTTGTCCGAACAAACGCGAACCTTTTCCGAGTGGGGACCATCAGTTAGTTGCAACTGGTTTAACTAATTGAAGCTTTCAATTGATAGAAACTTTAAGCTATCTTCTTTCTTTTTTTTCTTTTTTAAGGATATAATTATTTGTAATTTGCTTTTTTTTTTGCAAGAAAGGATAGAAAAAAAGTAAGAAGTGGTAATTGAAACTCGAATTTTTTACCTGAAGTTTCTGAATCTGATCCCGAGGCAGGGCTTACGTCCACACTGTGCCTAGATCCTTGACAACATTCGCTGCACTTACTACACATTATCTTTTATTCGTAACTTACAACTTTTTTTTTACCGATTGTATAAATATAATTTTTTTTATTTTTATTTTTATTCTTTTTATTGGTTTGATATATTCAATTTGAAAATTCAGAAATTCGAATGAACACTAATTGCAATTTGTATTATCACGTTTGACTTATTATATTTTCTTTTTATAAAACGTATTTAAAATATGAACTTTCGATCACATACACATAAATGAACACTTGAACTTGAAAATTGTTTAGAACAATGATATTTTAAATATACATATATGTATGTGCAGGTGTATATAAATATATGTGTATGTGTGTGTGTGTGTGTTTCAGTGTTTGCACTTTAAATGTCACTTTTTTTTATGCACTAGACACATTTAACGAACGTAAGTACAATTAAATGTCGAAGAGAAGAATTTTCGTAAAAATATTTTTATCTTTTCTACAAATTTGAAAAGAAATAAATAAAAAAAAAGAAAAAAAAACAAAACGATCACATTGTTATCAACGAATGAATAAATAAATATAATGATCGAGTTAGAGAAGTAACAGGAGAAGGGAAAATAAATTGGATTCCGAACGGATGCATCTTATGCACTTAAACGCATCGAACTTGGTAACTCGTAGAAAAAGGGGCGTCGTCGTAGTCGTAATCGTAGTCGAACGTTTAACACAGAGGTTAACGAGCTTTCGCTTAGGAGTCTTCTTTGCGACTCTTTCCAGGTATTTACTTCTTGTATTTATATGCACACCTTTGTAAAATAGATATGGAAGATAGAAACAGAAAGACAGAGATAGTATGTATGTACGTGAACGAGATTTAAAAAAAAAAACAAAGGTAGATACAGAGAGAGAGAGAGAGAGAGAGAGAGAGAGAGAACAGGAAAGGGTGCTTGTATCTCTGAATGAGAATGAAAGATAAAGAAAGAGAGGTGATAAGAAAGAAAGAAAAAGAAAGAGTAAGAAAAAAAAAGTTCGTGTATATGTAAGACGGAAAGATAGAAAGAGAGAGAGGGGGGAGAGGAGAGGAGAGAAAGTGGGTGAGAGAGAGAGAGAGAGAGAGAGAGTGCGTATGGTTGTTGAGAATGAAAGAGAAAAACAGAGAGAGTATATGCTTGTATAAAAATGAAAGAATGAAAGAGAGAGAGAGAGAGAGAGAGAGAGAGAGAGAGAAAGAGTATGTTTGTATGGGAATGAAAGAGAGAGAAATACTCTTGTAAAATAAAAAAAAAATAAAGAGAGAGGGGGAGAGAGTATGTTTCTATGAGGATGAAGGAGCGAGAAATACATACACTAGAAAAAGAGAGAGAGAGAGAGAGAGTGTATATGTGCGTATAGATGTGAACGAAGAGAGAAGCAAACGACGGATGTAGCGCGTCGTTGGTTACTGGAGCAAAAGCTTACTCGTAAAGCGCACGACCGGGTTACGGAAGGGCAATGGGTGGCCGTGCATGCGCGTACACGCACCCACCCCTTTTCCTTTCCCTCCTACCTACCAAATATCATCTATACCGCTCTCTTTCTCTCTCTTTTTTTCTTATTGTAGCTTTAACTTTCTCATTGCATTTCTCTTTAAACCCTCCTCCTCAACGCTCATTCGTCATTGCTATTGAGAAGAGATTTCGAACTCTCAGTGTAAAAACCACGGGCACTTTTTATTACGTTAATCGTTGTCGTGTGAATTGCAGTTGGCTGTTTTGCTTTTTGTATTTTTTCTTTTCTTTTTGTTTTTCCTTTTTCCTATTTCTTTTTCTATTTTATTTTTTTCTTCAACTCTCTTTTGCCGGCACTTTTTTTCCCATAGCAAGGTTTCACCCTTGATGTGTTTCATGAGTTTCCGGGCAGTGATTTTGTGCTTTTTTTTTGTATATATATACATATCCAGGTTGGTTCTTTTG